GGGGTTCTGTTTGGGTACTCCCTGGCCCCTGCTGAAGGCTATGACTCAGGAAACCAGTGGCTTCCTCTCTGTTGGCTCATCTGGCCTGGTCTCAGGCACTAAGGAAGTCTAGCTGTTGGCTTCACCATGTGACCTATTCAGTGAAATCAGTGAACCAACTGCATTGACTATCCCAGGGCTTCTTGACACAGAGAGCTCATGGCTGCACACCTACTCCTACTCATTGGTGGGAGATTCACCTCCACAGCCTCTCAGGGGAGTATTGTCCATCCACCGACCTTGACTCTGTGGAAAGGAAGGAGACTCCTTGCCTTCTACCTGACTCGCCAGCCCTCTGTCATTTCCAACCAGCTGCCAACATGGAGATACCACACTGGACAATGTGCCCCTGCAGGTGCACTTAGAAACATAGAGAGAGGATCAAGATGGCCAACTAGACACAGGTAACAGGTGCCTCTTCCACAGAGAGGAACCAGAACAGTAAGCAAATTCTCACCTTTGAACAGATTGTCCTGGAGAGAATGCTAGGGAAGTGATGGCAAGCCCCCAAAAAGGGTAAGGAGAGGGTTCTGGGCAACTTTGCTGGCCAGGGGCTGGCTAACACCTGGGAGAAGGTCCTGGACTCGGGGAAACAGTAACAGAGAAGCCTCCAGGGCTCTACTCTCTGAGATGAGCTTTTACAATCTAGGCTACAAGAGAATCCTCTGGCTCACGCAGATCTTGGGCCTACCGTGGGGAGCTGCTTGGAGATTGTAGAAACGTTGTTTCAGAAAGGGAACCCACGTGGACTCCCACAGGCGTCTGAGCCTAGAGCAGCTTGAGCCAGGTGCCATTCTGAAAGCCTAGATACCAGGGAACCACAGGCACACACCTGCAGCCACTGAGCGGCTATGAGGAGGGATAGAGGAGCCCAGGTGCTCCCACACACCCCTGGGAAGGTCCCCAGCCTGCATCATGCTGCAGGCTGCCGTTGAGACTGAGATGCAAACAGACAGCATTTTCCAGTTTCTTGTCCATGATGCTTGTCTGGGTGAGGATCCAGCCTTTCTGGTTGCAGGTCCAAGGTACCATTTTTGAGAGTTTGAGACTGGGATGCACCCTGCCCCCTGGGCTGAGTTTGGACTGACACAGTTGCAGCTCTGGCTGGGGAGGGGCAGGGAAACCAGGCTTTCCAGCACGCACCTGGGACAGTACCCACCATCTTGCAACTGGCTGCTGTGAGACCGAGTCTCGAGCAAATGCACTCCCCACAGTTTCCTGCCAGGGCAGCCCGCCCGAGAAGGGCCCCACACTCTCAGGGTTGACGATGTTTGTAAAGAGAAATTACTTGATAAAAATCACACTGAACAACAGAATAAAATATACTGTCTTCAGTTTCAGAATTTCTCTGTGTGTGTGTTAAATATCTATCTCCTTGGTAAATTTCTGAGGTCTTTATGTTGGTTTTCAGATTTCTCTTGCATTTTACTGAGCTTCTTTAAAATCAATATTTTGGATGCTTCATCTGGGATTTAGACAATTTCTTTTTGGTTAAGATCTATTGCTGGAGAATTATGGTGTTCCTTTGAAGGTGTCATATGTCCTTGCTTTTTCACACTTCCTGTGTCTTTACATTGATATCTGCACATCTGCTGTAACAGTTGCTTCTTCCTATTTCTTTTCTTTCTTTCTTTTTTTTTTTTTTTTGAGACAGAGTCTCGCTTTGTTGTTCAGGCTAGAGTGAGTGCTGTGGCGGCAGCCTAGCTCTCAGGCTGGTTTTGAACTCCTGACCTTGAGCAATCCGCCCGCCTCAGCCTCCCAGAGAGCTAGGATTACAGGCGTGAGCCACCGCACCCAGCTGCAGCTTTCTTTATAGAGATCTTTTGCCTCCTCGGTTAAATTTATTTCTAGGTATTTTTCTGGTAGCTATTGCAAGTGGGATGGCCTTCTTGATTTTTTTCTCAGCTAGGTAATTCTTGGTGTATACACATGCTGTTAATTAATAGTGTATGCTGACTTTGCATCCTTCAACTTTACTGAATTTATCCAATTGAAGAGTTTTTTGGTAGAGTCTTGAGGTTTTTCTAGATAGGATCACATCATCAACAAATAGGGATAATTTGACTTTCTATTTTCCAATTTAGATGCCTTTTCTTTCTTTCTCTTGCCTGATTGCTCTAGCTAGAATGTCCAGTACCATGTTGAATAGGAGTGGTGAAAGTGGACAGCCTATCTTGTTGCAGTTGTTAGAGGAAAGCCTTTCGACTTTTCCCCATCTAGTATGTTAGCTGTGTATTTGTTGTATTATAGCCTTGATTATTTTAAGGTATGTTCTTTCTATGCCTAGGTTGTTGAGGTTTTTATCATGAAGGGATGTTGAATTTTATCAAATGCTTTTTTCTGCATCTATTAATAACATATGGTTTTCATTTTTTATTCTGGTGATGTGTTGTATCACATTTATTGACTTGTGTATGTTGAACCATCCTTGTATCCCTGTATAAATCCCACTTGATCATGATGTATTATCTTTTTCACATGCTGTTGGATTCAGCTTGCTAGTATTTTCTTGAGGATTTTTGCATCTATGTTCCTCAGGGATATTGGTCTATAGTTTCCCTTTTTTGTTGTATTCTTGTCTGGTTTGGGTATCAGGCTGAGACTGGCCTCCTAGAATAAGTTAGAACACCCTTCTCCTCGAGTTTTTGAAAGAGTTTCAGGAGGATTGGTATTAGTTCTTCTTTGTATGTTTAGTAGAATTTGTCTCTGAACCCATCTTGTCCTGGGCTTTCCTTTGTTGAGATTTTGTGTGTGTTACTGATTCAATCTTGCTACTCATTATTGGTCTGTTAATGTTTTCTGTTTCTTCCTGGTTCAATCTTAATAGTTTGTATGTTTCCATAAATTTATTCATTTCCTCGAGGTTTTCCAGTTTGTCAATGTATAGTTATTCATGATAGTCCCTCATGATCTTTTGATTTCTATGACATCAGTTGTAATGTCTCCTTTTTCATTTCTGATTTTGTTTATTTGGGTTTTCTCTCTTCTATTCTTGGTTAGTCTAGCTAATGGTTTATCAATTTTGTTTATCTTTTCAAAGAGCCAAGTTTTGTTTCATTGATCCTTTGTATTTTTTTTTTTTATTTTTTTATTTTTGTTTTTTTAGATGACCCTGCAGTGGCCGGCTGGCCCGCCAGACAGAGCACCCAGGGCCAATTTACTTCTTTTAATCTCGATCCTTTGTATTTTTTAAATCTCTATTTTATTTAGTCCTCCTCTGATATTTGTTATTTCCCTTTCTACTGCTAAATTTGGGTTTGGGTTGTTCTTGCTTTTCTAGTTCCTGAAAGTGCATGATTAGATTGCTAATTTGTAATCTGTCTATTCTTTTTTTATTTTTGAGAAAAGATCTCATCCTGTTGCCTGGGCCAGAGTGCAGTAATATCATCATAGTTCACTGCAACCTTAAACTCCTGGCCTCAAGTGATCCCCCTGTCTCAGCCTCCCAAGGAATTCAGACTACAGGCATACACTACTATGCCTGGATAATTTTTCTATCTTTTGTAGAGGTTTATTCTAGTTATGTAGCTCAGGCTGGTATTGAACTCCTGGCCTCAAGAGATCTTCCCATCTTGGCCTCCCAAAATGCTAAGATTACAGGCATGTGCCACTGTGCCTACCCTTTTTCTATTTTTTTGGAGTAGCCATTAATGCTATAAACCTCCCTCTTAGCACTGCTTTTACTGTATCCCAGAGGTTTTGGTACATTGTGTTTCCATTTTTATTTGTCTCAAAAAAAAGCATTGTTTTTTTTTTGAGACAAGATCTCACTCCTTTGCCCAGGCTAGAGTGCAGTGGCATTATCATACCTCACTACAACCTAGAACTTCTGGGCTCAAGTGATCATCCCACCTCAGCCTTCCAAATAGCAAGGACTACAGCCACATACCACCAAACCTAACGAATTTTTTGTAATTTTTGTAGAGACAAGGTCTCACTATGCTGCTCAGGCTCATCTCAAACTCCTGGCCTCAAGCAATCCTCCAGTCTTGGCCTCCCAAAGTGCTAGGATTACAGGTATGAGCCACCATGCCCAGCCTCAATTTTTTGTTTTTATTTCCATCTCAGTTTTCCTATAGACCCAATGGTTATTCAGGAGCATGCTGTTTCATTCCCTATATTTGTATAATTTCCAAAGTTCCTCTCAGTATTGATTTCTAGTTTTATTCCATTGTGGTCTGAGAAGATACTTGATAAGATTTTGACTTTTAAAAATTTGTTGAGACTAGTTTTGCAGCCCAACATATGGTCGGTCTATCCTGGTGAATGTTTCATGCGCTGATGAAAAGAATGTATATTCTGCAATTGTCAGATAGAATGTTCTGTAAATGTCTCGTAGGTCCATTTGGTCTAAAGTCCAATTTAAATCCAACATTTCTGTGCTTGCTTTGGCAGCACATATACTAAAATTGGAACGATACTTTGCATCATGTTAAATGTCATCCTTTCGCTTCCAAGTTTAGGACTCCCTTGAGCATTTCTTGTATGGCTGGTCTAGTGGTGATGAATTCCCTCAGCATTTGCTTGTCTGGGAATGACTTTATTTCTCCTTCTTTTATGAATAATAATTTTGCTGGTATAGCATTCTTTGCTGACAGTTTTTTCTTTTTTCTTTCAGCACTTTGAATATGTCATCCCATTCTCCTCTGGCCTACAAAGTTTCTGCTGAGAAGTCTACTGTTAGTCTGAGGAGAATGCCTTTATAGGTAACTAGACTTTTTTTCCTTCTGTTTTTAGCATTTGCTCTCTCAGTTTGACTGTAGACAATCTGATAAAATGTGCTGTGGTGAAGTCCTATTTGCATTGTATTTGTCTGGGGATTGCTGGGCCTCCTATATCTGGATGTCTAAATCTCTTACTAGACTTGGGAAATTTTCTATCTATTATTCCATTAAATATGTTTTCTAAATATTTTGATATCTCCTCACCCTCAGGGATGTCTAAATCTATATCTGGATGTCTAAATCTCTTACTAGACTTGGGAAATTTTCTATCTATTATTCCATTAAATATGTTTTCTAAATATTTTGATATCTCCTCACCCTCAGGGATACTGATAATTCATAAATTTGGTTGCTTTATGTTGTCCCAAACATCTCCAAGGTTTTATTCGTTATTTTTTGTTCTTTTTCTTTATTTATTTTTGTCTGATCAGATTATTTCAAAGACCTGGCTTCAAGTTCTGAAATTCTTTCTTCTGCTTCCTATAGTCTAAGTTGAAGCTTTCAAATGTATTTTGTATTCCCTTCAATCAATTCTTCCAGAATTTGTTTGTTTGTTTTTAACAACTATCTCCTAGGTAAATTTCTTATTCATATCCTGAATTGTTTTTCTGAGGTCTTTCTATTGGTTTTCAGATTTCTCTTGCATTTCATTGAGCTTCTTTAAAATCAATATTTTGAATGCTTTATCTGGGATTTCAAGAATTTCCTTTTTGGGTAAGGTCTACTGCTAAAGAATTATTGTGTTCCTTTAGGGGTGTCATATTTCCTTGCTTTTTCTTGTTTCCTCATTCAGGACCCCCAGTGGCGAGTGCAGGTACCAGCCGTGATGGGTGGGGGCAAGGCACTCATGAGGCCCCTGGTAGAATGCTCAGGTGAGGGGCAGCAGCCACCACACTGTGGTCCTGGCAAGGGGAGGGTGGGGCCAGCCCCAGCAGCCACAGCCTTGGCTGGTGAGGGCAACACATGTCCCTCTCACGCTCCAGTCCCAGCAGGGCTCGCTCCCTGGTCCTGGCCATCACAGCAGACCTGGTTCACCCATCAGATCCAGCAGTCTGTGCCTAGCCTGTAACTCAGTCTTAGGAGCCCCCACTCAATAACAAGCCTGTGTGTCTTACTCAAGTCCCAGGGCAGCGCCTGCTTTCCTGTACTAGTATCTGCAGCCAACACCACACTTGCCTCTCAGGCCTAACTATGGGAGCTCAGCCCCCACTCATGCTCCAGTTCTACAAGCAACAGCCTGAATTTCCCCAATGCCTAGGACCAGCGCATTTAGATCCCAGGATAGCACACGGTCTTTTAAAAGCTAGGTTTAAAAGTGGCGTCTTGCTGTAGCCGCTTAGGTTTCAGAAAGAATGTGGGACCTGGGGCGAGCTCCCGCCCTGGAGCTGTTCCTTCTCACAGTCTCCAGGCAGCTTCTAACATTAGACTCAGGCTTGGGTCTAATGCTCTCCTCTGAGAGAGCATCTCCACCTTGGGTCAAGGTGCTCGCCTCTGTCCTGGACTGCACGACTCTTCAGTGGGAAAGTGGACCACAGAAAGACTCTCAGTCACACTCTACCTGTATCAAGGAGTCACTCCCAGCTCCGGCTTAGCCCTGCCACGCAGGCCGCCTGTTGTCCTTCTCCTTCCTAGATTCTGGTGTTTCCTGCCACTCTTCTGTTGAATTCCTCTATTCCCTCTGGGATAATGCACTCCAAATGTGATTGTCTACACACCACTCTGGTTCTTCTAAGTGGATGAGCCATGCTTGAAATGCTTCCAGTCAGCCACAGCCACGGTGGTGGTGAGGGAGGTGGCAGTGGCCCTAGTGCAGGGCCCCGGAGTGCAGTCAGACTGGACTGCAGAGACCCACATTTGTATTGTTTGAAGCCACGATGTCTGTGGTAATTTCTTACAGGAGCAACAGAAAACTAATACTGTTATAACAAATACCTAGGTCAGGTGCAGTGGCTCACACTTGTAATCCTAGCACTCTGGGAGGCCAAGGCAGGAGGATTTCTTGAAGTCAGGAGTTCTAGACTAGCCTCGGCAAGAGCAAGACCCTGTCTCTACTAAAAATAGAAAAAAATAGCTGAGCAACTAAAAATAGAAAAAAATTAGCTGGGCATGGTGGTACACATCTGTAGTCCCAGCTACTCAGGAGGCTGAGGCAGGAGGATTGCTTGAGCCCAGGAGTTTGAGGTTGCTGTGAGCTAGGTTGATGCCACAGCACTCTAGCCTGGGCAACAGAACAAGACTCTGTCTCACAAAACACAAACACAAAAACAAAAACCTCTACACATGCAAAAGTAGCTTTGGAATGAACAATGGGAAGAAGCAGGAAAAACCTTGAGGAACATGATAGAAAAAGCTTATGGGGGTTTCCTTGAGCAGGCTGTTAGCAGATATATTAATGTTAAGAACTCTGACAGGGAGGACTCAGAAATAAATAAAGAGCATGGTAAAAAAAAATATATGAATCAGTTTAGAAAATACTAAATTATCATGAACAGACTCAGTAGAAATATGAATGTTAAAGGTGCAATGGGTTAAGGATCAGAAGGAAACGAGGAATATGTTATTGGAAACTGGAGAAAAGGGATCTTTGTCACACGGTGACAAAGCACTTAGCATCATGCCTGGAAGTTACGTGGAAAGCAGAACTTAGAAACAAGAAACTTGGAAATTTAGCTGAGGAGATTTCTAAGCAAAGTGTTGAAGGGTGTGGCCTGGTTTCTTCTTGCTGCTGACAATAAAACGTGAGGGGAAATAGATAATTTGAGAGAACTCTTAAACAAAAGATGAACCAGGACTTGATGATATGGGGAATTCTCAGCCTATTCAGATTGTAAAAAATGTTAGAATAATTCAGTGTCAGGAACGTGGGCTTTTTTGTGCTTGCTTTGGCAGCACATATATTAATAGTAAAATTGGAATGATACAGAGGAGATTAGCATGGCCCCTGAGCAAGGATCACATAGCATTTCATATTTTAAAAAAAGGCATGTGTGCTTTAGAGAACAAGCTGAGAATACGGGTGGATGACCTTTGGCTAATACCTCGGAAAGATCAAAAGGCAGCATATTCAATCACATAAATGGCTTTTTGAAGAGATTAAGAATGTGACTCATATATCCCCACAGCTACCTCAACAGGAGCCAAAAATAGAAATGAGAGTATCTAGAGAAGGTCTGTGAAGGAGCCTTTTGTCTAATGGAGTGGATGCCCAGGCCATACATGAGAGACCCACAAGGTTCTTGGGAATTTGTACCAACAGAAACACTGCAGCTTGGACTGAAAGGGATAATAAGGAGAGTATGAAATGAAAGAAGGCTATGAGATCCTCAAAATTCCACAGGCAGGAAACAAGCTGATAAATCTATCCAGCTGCAAACATGTGCTGAACCTTTCATGAAAAAAGAATGACTCAGAGGGTGGAGCTATGAGCCCAAAGGACAAGGCCTTGAACCACAGAGTGTTATTCCTAGGACTTGAAACCTAATGGAGTTTGTCTAGTTTAATTGTGAAATTTCTTTTTGCATGGGAATGTCTATAACTGCTATCCTATGGCATTGTATTTTGGGAACAGACAGCTTGTTTTCTAATGTCATATGTCTACAGATGGAAAGGAACTCTGCCCCAGGATAGATTATTCTGAGTCTCATCCAATACCTAATTTAGACTATTTCAATGATGATATTTGAAATTCTTGAACTAAAGAGATTTAGATGAGACTTTGGAGTTTGAGTTGATACTCTAAGTGGCTGAGACTTTTGGGGACCTTAGAATTATGTGAACATATGTTGCATGTGAGATAGACATGAATATTTGGGGGCCAAAGAACAGACTGTGGTGCACAGAATAAAGACCTGTCCTAATCCCCAGAACCTGTGAATCTGTTACATTACGTGGCAAAAATGGACCTTGCAGATGTAATTAAGTTAAAGATCATGAGATGGGGAGATTGTCCCAGATTAACTGGGTGGGCCCAATGTAGTCACAAGTGTCCTTAAAAGTGGGAGAGGAAGACAGAAGAGAGACGCAGAGGGAGATTTTATTCTGGAAGAGTAGTCAGTAAAACGCAACTCTGCTGGTTTTGAAGATGGAGGAAGGAGGAACCAAGGAAAGTGGGAAGCCTCTAGAATAGGGGTCCTCAAACTTTTTAAACAGGGGGCCAGTTCACTGTCCCTCAGACGGTTGGAGGGCCAGACTATAGTTTAAAAAAAACTATGAACAAATTTCTATGCAAACTGCACATATCTTATTTTGAAGTAAAAAAACAAATGGGCAAAAACACCCGCATGTGGCCTGCAGGCTGTAGTTTGAGGACGCCTGCTCTAGAAGGTGGAAAAGGCTGGAAAATGAATTCTCTTAGAGCCTCCAGAAAGGAACACTGAGGGTAAACAAGGGCTCGAAAGTGGAAGCGAGGAGTCAAAATAAAGAGGCAGTTGCAATAATCCAAGTAAAAGAGGATGGTGTGCTGAGTAAGGCAGTTGCAGTGGGATGGAGAGAGGGGATGGAGTAGATAAACACTTGTGAGGTACAGCCACTGGGACATGGTGACAGTACTTCTGGGGGTGTCAAGGTTGACACCCATATTTTTGGCTTAAGCAATAGGGCAGAGGGTGGAACCACTGGCTTTGTAGGCCACATAAGAAGAAGGACAGGTTTGTGGGCAAGAAGATAATTTCGTTTTGGACAAGTCAAGTTGTTGGGGCCTGTGAAACATCCAAGAAGCAGTTGGAGAAGCAGGTGGGAAGTTCTGGGGAAACAGTTAAAATCAATGGGGTGTACAAGATGGCTCAGGAAGAGTATGGAGAGTAAGAAGAGGACAGGACTTTGTGAAGTGCTAAGTAAGGGTGTGCAGAGAAAAGAAATCTACAGGGGCCTGAGAAGGAAAATAAATATCCAAGGCGCTCTGGGCACAATGCTAAGCACTTTATGGGCATCAAGAGGCACTGGAATTCTCCCCATTTTACAAATGAGAAAACTGAGTCTTAAAGAGGTGAAGTGACTTGCCCAAAACCGCACAATCAGTATGTGGTGGAACCAGGGTCCAAGTCTAGCTGAATCCAAATTCCAAGTTTTGATTTCCCAGAAGCTACACTCCCTCGTTGAGCTCTTAATCTACCTCTCTCCGTTTCTCGCCCGAGAAAGGGGCTTGCAGCATGGCGTGCTGCGGCAAAGGACCACTAGGTGGCGCCAGAGGACCAGCCAGCCAGACTGCTGCCCACCTGGACGGAGTTGCACGGAGGACCTGGTGGGGAAGGGAGCCGGCCTTTTCCTCCCGCCCTGCACAGCCGCCCCGCCCTCCTGTCAGAGTTGGGAGGAAAACATCAGGAGATCCGAAGGTTAGCGATTAGAGGTCTGAGGAGTATAAACTGCTCAGGCCTCAAGTCAAACAGAAGAGTCTAAGAATTCTTCTCTGAAAAAGCCTAGGACCAGCAAAATAAAAGCTAGGGGCAAGCTAGTCGTCAGGCTGGTCTCGGCGCCACTCCGCTCTCCATTTTTGTGTGGAGCCCCAAATTCACAATCTTATGCTGCAGCTTCGGGCGAGAGGGAGGAAATACATGTTACTGGGACCTACCCTGGACCAGAAACTGGGAAAGCAGATGTGTGTCCCTGGGGAGATCATTTCCTTCCTCTAAGCCTCAGTCTTCCTGTGTATAAAATGGGGATAATCAAGGGATCCACCTCATGGAGTGGTTGTGAGGAGTTAATGACAAAATGCATGTAGTACATAGTGCATTATCTGTCATATAGCAAGTGCTTGATAAATATTGTTATAAATGTACAATAATTATAACAAAATAAATATATAAATTATAAACATTGTTATTATATTTGTCAGGGTTCTCCAGAGAAACAAAACCAGTAGGATATAGACAGACAT